GGGGAAACCGAAGTACTCGGAGAAAACTCGCCCCAGCGTCACTTTGTCCACCACAAATCCCACTTGACCAGACCCGGGATCGAACCCGGGCCGCTGCGGTGGGAAGCCAGCGACTAACCGCTTGAGCTATGGCGCGGCCTCATCTCTCATATTAATGCACAACCCAAGATTGTAACCCCAGTCATATCATTTTAACACCTAACATACTCTACTCTGGGGCCGAGATTTGTATCTGAGACCTTCACAATATGATATATGGATGGTAACCGCGGAACGATGACAGGTGAGAGCTATAGAGTCTTCTACAGTGATGATCTTTGTCTTTCCGGTCTCTTGCAACGTATCTGCTTTGTAATTTGACTGCAGTTTCCAGGGACAAGCCTTACGGTGCCTTGTTCTATTTTTGTTAACGCAAACGTAGACTTGTTCTAATTCTGACATCTATGAATGGAGTGTTGGAACTACAAATGCATATAGAATGCTATTTTTAATTAATGGGTCATTATTAGCATATGTCGAAATAGGAGTATTCTGTTAAAATATTTCAATATTGTTCAAAGAAAAAAACAAAGTATCCTAATTTTTTTTCTGTTATCTTTCGATCCGATGATTCTAAACGTTAATAATGAACTTTAAGTCAACTTTTCAAGATGATGTACAGCTCATAAATTGATACGGAATATTTTCAATATCCTCAAAATTGATTGATATCCTTGAATCACTTCCTGGCAAGTTTCAACACACACGTTGATATTAAACTAAAGTCCGTGGCCTGTAGTCCGCAAGGGAACTATACCGACCGAGCGACCGCCGCTTGTCGGCGAAATTAGTGCCAACTTTAGCTGATAAACGTGTCGCGTGGTCAGCGTAACGAATCCCTACGGCCGTTAATCACGGGTTTCTAGACCGGAGCCACTATTTCCTTGAAATAGCTTCACAATTATCCTCACGAGGCTGAGTGGAACCCGTTCGAGAACCACTACTTCTCAGAAAATCTGTTAGCGTCGGGAATCGAACCCGGACCTCTGGATCTGTAGCCAGGAACTCTGACCACTAGACCACAGAGGCGGTCCACACGTTAATTGGCTGGCCCGACTCTGTAAGTGCGGGACTCACCTCGTTTTCAGAGTCCTCGTCCTGGCTGGTGTTGCCGAGTTGACCGTGACGCTTCGCCTTTCCCAGGAGCCCTTCCAGGCGGTCATACTCTTCCCGCAGGCCCCAGATTTCTCGCCGCAGCTGCTCGTTTTCTCTCCGCAATTTCTTGATGTCGTTCTGGCCTGAAGAGAGGCATACAACAATCTTCACTTACTATTCCTTATGTAAAGAAAGTAAAGGTATCCCTGTAACCGGCCGTGAAGGCCCATAGAGTTGTGAGACATGGAGGCTCCCACATTTTCTCTAGACAGTCTTTTCACAGATGGCGGAAAGGATCTTAGCCTTACGCGCCGGCCGTCCTTCACCCCCCAGGTAGATTCCTGGTACCCATTTTTGTTAGATGCTGAGTCGACCCCAGGGACATAATGCGGCTGGAAGGATTAGGTCAACTGAAATAATCCAATAACCTCATCGGGACTCGAACCCGCGACCTTCCGGCTTGTAGCATAGTGCCTCAACCAACTACGCTACCGCGTGCCCCCAGTCTCATCCTATAAGGAATGCAAAATACTTAGAAATATGTGAGTTGTGGTACGTCTCGAACGAAACGTGGAACCCCCCCAAAGTTACCTCGCTCCACTTCAGCGTTGATGTTGATGGTCCTCAGCCTCAGCTCCTCGTTCTCATACAGCATGCCACGTGACGACTTGCGGTCCAACCTCCTGTTCGGCTTGACGTTGACATCACGTCGACGCGCACGCAGCATGCTGGAGGTTCCAGGAGTCATCATCAGGTCTGCTAACTTATCCTTACTTCTCACGCCATTTTGTTCTCGTGATTATCCGCATCATCCTGAATTGTCCTAAGAGCAACAAAATATAAAACTGTTACTTACGCATCCGGTCTAGAAAACCGAAATTAACGGCCGTGAGAATCCGTTGCGCTTAGCGCGTGACACCCTCTATCCGCAGAAGTTTGTACTAACTTCGCCGACAAGCGGCGGTCGCTCGGTCGGTATAGTTCGCTAGCGGACTAAAAGCAGCATAGTTACCTACGTATCGAGGCCGATATTTCTTTGAAGTTCTCTCACAGTCATACCCTTCATGTTAATGTAATCTGCCAAGCGTACGTGACTTGGCTTCCACCAGAGTTGCCTGTTATCATCAGTGACTTTTAATCAGTTTCCCCTGTCTCCCCATGTGGTCAGTATTGTAGCGTGTATAGCTGTCGACAGGGAACATGCGTTGCTTGGCAACGACCGGTAAACACGTCAACAATACCCGGACTATCGCTAAGTAACGACAGCAACAATTGCCGCTATAGTTCAGTAACCGCGTGGAGGCGGGGTCGAATACCTCCACCGTGACCTTTCGAGTCGTAGGAGGCGACAAAACGGGACGTCTCAAATCTGAGACAGTAAAATATGGTCGCGAGTCCCAAGGGACTCGGACCCGAAAAAGACTGCGCTGACACGAGCAAGCAGCATATACAAAAGACAGACCCGTCCTCTTGTTATAGAGGGCGACCCACAATCAAGACCGTAACTGAGAAACGGTAATAAATATCTGGTCATGAGCCCCAGATGGGGCTCGACACCAAGACTTACTAACTGACTGACTGACCGTCAGCCACATTATGACTTTGACTTTGACTTCGAGTAGTAGTAGAGATCTGTCCGAGATCAGTCTGAGTTTAGTGAGAAATTCGTAATGCAGACGTTCAGAAGGAGTTCAATGTGTGAGCTGTTATAATTGACTGTAATTGTAAAGAAGCGCCAATAGATTCGATCATCAAATCCAGAACCCATTATTATTAGTCACGAAACCCCAAATACGTGATAATATTCTGAATAGCAATTTTGCTCGAATTCTCCTCAACAAAAATCTCTTTTCGTTTTATATGTCCCAAATTCGTTAACCGGACCAAGCGCTGTTAGTAGCACGTAACAAGTTTGCAGGTATTTCGGTTTAAGTTAGTTGCTTTCGTTGAAAGTTAACTGAAATTTCAGAAGGAAATATCACCTCCATCTTCAAGGTTGAATACTAAACATCGATTTACTTTCAACGACCTACACAGTATTATATCCAAGAAGATGGAATTCTTCATAACCACCGCTATGAGAATCTCAGATCCCGAACATGTATTTCAACTTTAACTATACAGAGAACAGCCTATATATGAACAGGAACAGAAGAAACCAGTGAAAGAGCATCTAATGGTTGTTGTTGTTGATGACCAATGGGTCAGAATTCGAGTGCTGGTGATGCAAGACTTTTCATTTCTCCATGTCACCCAGACAGACTCTCGACCCCACACAGCCTTTTATCCAATGGGTACCGGGGGTAAAGCATCCCGGGCGTGAAGGTAACCACTCACCTGTAATAAGTTCCGAGATCAGGAAAACTTGGGTCTATACATTCACTCTCCCATGTCCCTTCGTGGCGTAGTGCTTAATTAGTTAAACACAGGGAAAATTTTACCTTAACTTTTCCTTTAGTGTTCATAGATATGTCCCTGAGTGCTGTCTGGTGACCAAGCCCATAAATAGTAGAACAAAGCACAGATCTCGCCAGCTATACTGAATTAAAAAAAATATATTTATATTATAATTTCGTTTGCCGTGGCTACAGCTGCTTGAGTGGAAATTTATCGTGTGTTTTGCTGCAGAGAGTTAGTGTAAATATGCACAAATATGATTTTACAATAATCGAAACCAGGAATCATATAATCCCATAATATAACGGTAAATGATAAAAGTAAACTTGCCCCTGTTCTCAACGAATTAAGCACTATGCAATGAAGGCGTATGGAGAAGTGGATATATAGATCCACATTTTCTTGACCTCGGCACTAGCTGGAAGTGAGTGGTCAACTTCATGACCAGGCCGCTATATCCCCGGGGAAAGAGCCCTGTATCAATTGGATAGGAGGTTGGGTGGACCCCAGTGCGGGTCTGGACGACGTGGAGAAGAGAAAATTCTTGACTGTACCGGAACTCGAACCCCGAACCCTCGGTCGGCCAGCCCGTAGCCAGTCGCTCTACCGACTGCGCTATCCCGGCCATGTTGAGTACGATCTAAAAGTTCTAGATTTTTTTTACATTATTTTTTGTTCATCGTCCATGGGCCAAATTAAGTAGGGCTTTTACATGGGGTGGAGATTGAATCCGGTCTCCGAAACGTTTTAAATAAAAATAGGACGATGGATAATATCCAAGAAATCAATCATTGTCTCGTGCTGAACTTCCGTCGCTGAGTACACTCGCCAACTTCATGTAGTGGGTCATAACAAATGACGCTATTTCTCCGTGAAGCAACATCTGATCTGCTAGTCAGGTACGGAACTTTGCGACAAAGACAGCGTTAGTTACGTTACACATGTCGGCAGCAAGGCAAATATTTTTTATTGCTAGTGGGGTGGGACTAAGTCCCTTGTACTGCGGCCACTTCTGGCCTATTGTACCCAGATGATAGGTGAGGGTGATTGTGGAGCAATTGGTGGAATGGAGATTGGCAGGGGAAAACAAAGTACTCGGAAAAAACCTGCCCCACCGCCAATTTGTCCACCACAAATCCCACTTGACCAGACCATACTCCAAGTTATTTGTTCATTATAATAATCCTATCAAGTATTTTCCTGAGCTACTGGTATTGACAAAGGAAGTCATTGTTTGCAGTTGTATTAGAAATTCTCGTGTATTAGATATGATTCATTGAGTTGGCAAACATAAAGCAATGGGGCACATTTTAATTTAGAAATTCACACATATATACATTCACTGCTTAACGTGATTTATTATCTTAATGGGCTTGTTTATTTTGTTTTCTTATTTTGTTTAATGTTAATATTTAGAATGATATTGTAGCGTGTACAGCCGTTACTATGCAATTACCGCGAGACATGCGAATGAACAACGGTATTACACAACTCGTTTCCAGGCAACGGATCGCTAAACGTGTTCCCGTGGCAACAAATACTCACGCAACAATAGAGTTACTGTTGGAAACGGTGTTTTCTACTCGGTCTGTGCAAAGGAACCTGCTACCTGCTTCATGCTAGTCTCTTGCTTGGCTTATTCTTTTACCCTGAAAGTTTACTCGGCATGTTCCTCCGAAACATCAGTTGACTTTCAACAGACTACACGGTCTTAGTTAGTTAGTTAGTTATTGGAGAGGGTGGGTTTCCCCATGCACTTAGACCGGTATTGGTCCATTGTGATTCCCTCTATGATATTCTACCAGTTTCTATACCCTACCGATATTGTTGCGTACCATCAGTCCCGCCGAGCCAGCGAGTTCGGCCTCCACTGGCTTGATGGTGTCTATAATGCTTCCCCCATCTATCAGAGGCATTAGAGACTACTGTTGGGCGGGAAACGTCCTTGAATTTGGCTCAGTGACCTCCTTTGGAGATATGAGGTTCTTTTACGTGCCGTAAAACAACGACACGGAACCCACGGCTTAAAGTCCCTCCCGGAGGACTTGTTCCCTGAATTTTTCCGCCCTTTAAACATTCGACGACCTCCGCCGGGTTTGAACCCGCGTACCACGAGTCATGAGGTGGGAACGTTACCTCTAGACTACGGAGGCCGCTTCTACACGATCTTATATCGCTGAAGATAGAGACAGTTACAGTTTCCTTCTCTTTAGTATATCAATTCGCATTTTGAAACGGGTTATTCGTGTGTCGGATCTTGAATCAAATATGTAAGCAGCTGTAACCAATTTGCTCTTAAGGTTTTTCTTTTTTTTACAACAACAAAGCTTTCCCTAACCGTCTCATATTCAAAATATTTTAATGTTGCAGAACTTATGAAAATAGGACAAGTGGCTTTATTAAATAAACGTGAACTAAATTAAACATGACGTTAACACACAACAGAAGAACTGTTATCATAGTGAGAATGGATGCCATTTCTATTTAAGATTGTTTTATATACTAAGATGCGCTAACTTGCTATTAAAACAATCAAAGTGGTGAGTTGGAGCTCCCATTAATCCTAGGAATAACACAAGCACACAGTTCAGGGCGATCTGTTGGGTCTCTCTAGATCAAACAACAGAAGGAAAACAAGTACCATATTGCAAAGATATGCAATGACTGGCAAACATCGCTACCAACAAATTGTAAAAGTCGGCACTGCTTCGTCGGATAACAGCTTTGCTAGTTGGGTGGGCAACTACCAGTGTTCTCTCAAGTAGGTAGCTTATTTCTTACAATTTGTCCTGACATGGTAACGTAGATTTCATTGAATGAGATTATGGGTTCCAAGTATAGGAATTGAATAAGGGTTACGCAGTAATTTTTCTAGTAGAACGCAACAGTTTGGCTTTATACGTAATTTGAGGGCGTGATATTCGAACCTGAAAAAAAAATTATTTCTTGACATATCCTCCATCAAAATTGATACACTTGTCTTATTGCTTTATCAGTGAGTCGAAACCCGAGGCATAGAAGTTTTTTTACTCTTGTCTCAACCAATTCCGCCCCTCCATCTCTACCTCTTTGTCGTCGACAAAATGTCTGACATATTCTCGACCCAGTTGTGAAACGCTTTAAGCGACAAGCACTTCCCACCGTAATGAGGAAATATTTCTTGTGAATATCTTTGAACTGAAAACCTTTGCCCACAGAAAAACATAAAGTAAATCGCTGTTCTTCGGTAATACACGCCTGAAGCACGGTCGCCATTTTGATTACTAAAATCAGCCTATGAACATGTGCATGTGCGTCTGCTACCTAGAATGTCATGAAGCTGGACTGTGCTGCTACCTGGTGATACACATAGAACATCGCTTACCTAGTACATCCATTACAGCTGTTTTACTTCCATTTGTGATCTGTTTACTGACTCTTCCTCAC